TGGTGGTCGTAGAGTCGTAGTAGCAGTAGCAGGAGGAGTAGTATTAGTCGTCGTAGTCGTAGGGGTAGTAGTAGTGATAGTAATAGTAGCCGGAATAGTAGTAGTAGTAGTAGTAGTAATAGTATTAATAATAACAATAGGGGCAGCAGTAGTAGTAGCACTGGCAGTAGTAGTAGTAGTGGTAGTGGTAGTGGTAATGGTAGTTGTAGTAATACTAGTAGTAGTAGTTGTAGTGATACTAGTAGTAGTAGTAGTAGTAGTAGTAGTAGTAGTAGTAGTAGTGGTAGCAGTAGTAGTAGTAGTAGTAGTAGTAGTAGTAGTAGTTGTAGTAGTAGTTGCAGTAGAAGTAGTGGTAGTAGCGGTCGTAGTGGTAGTAGTAGTAGTAGTAGTAAAAGTAATAGTAGTAGTAGTAGTAGTAGTAGGAGTAGTAGTAGTAGTAGTCGTCGTAGTAGTGAGAGTAGTGGTGATACTCGTAGTAGTAGTAGTAGAAATACCAGTAGTAGTAGTAACCTGAGTAGTAGTAGTAATAAATTAGTAGAATAGTAGCACTATAAGGATTAGTAGTAGTAGTGGTAGTAGTAGTAGTAGTAGTAATAGTAGTAGTAGTACTAAATGTAGTCGTAGTAGTAGTAGTACGAAGGGTAATAATAGCAGTAGTAGTAATAGTAGCAGTCGTAGTAGCAGTAGTCGTAGTAGTAGTTGTAGTAGTAGCAGTAGTAGTAGTAGTAATAGCAGTGGTAGTAGTAGTGGTAGTAGTGGTAGTGGTAGTAGTAGCAGTAGTAGTACTAGTAGTGCTAGTAGTAGTAGTAGTAGTACTAGTAGTAGTGGTAGTAGTAGTAGTAGTAGTAGTAGTAGTAGTCGCAGTAACAATCGTAGTAGTAGTCGTAGTAGTAGTCGTAGTTGATTTTGTTACTTTGGCTGCTAGGAGCACCACAAGGAAGGAAGAGTGGAAACAGCGAGCGGGGAGCAGTGAGGTTCACGCAGTGTTGAATTTCAATGTTTACGAACCATGGTAGAGGATGGCGAATCAGGATGTGACATGGTATGTGAAAACACGAATCATAAAATAAGTATGTGACGTTCCCCAGTAGCGAAATTCTGTAATTCGGTTTTCTGGTCGTCCGACGCCGCCGGAAAAGCACTGGAAACCGCCCCAAGACGAACGAAACACAACTTTTTGACACAACAAAAACCCCAAGACGGCCCGACACGGCTTAGAAACTGCCCACAAATGGCCCCATGACGGCCCAAAATTACCCTAAAACACCTTCTGGAAGTTCAAACCGTCACCCGAAACCCCAATTCGCGGCATGGTGGCCCGAGGATCCCCCCAGAGGCCGCCAATAGGCGCCAGGGACTTCTTCAAGGCGCCCATCGAACCCCCAAAAAGCCGTCGCGAGGTCCTCCTGACGCTCGCCTCGGAGGAACCTCCGCAAACGCATTTGCGGAGGACGGGACAGAGTTCGCGAGCAACTAAGGCGAGAACGAGGAAAAGGAAGAGGAAGAGGAAAAGGCCACCTGATGGGAGGAGAAGGAACAACAAAATGAAAACAGTGATGATGAAAACTGCAGCCAAAATCCATTGCTGTCTTGATTGGATTACCTTTCTCTCACTGTGTCTGCCTGCATGTTAGAAGTGAAAGACCAAGGCACATGGCGCAAAGCGCCAATGCACTGTTGTACGTGGGAGAGGTAGAAGAATCAAAGCAGCGATCTTTGTTTGTTGCAGTTTTCGCCATCGCTGTTATCATACTGTCGATCCGTATCCTTCCCTCAGGTGTCCTCTTCGTCGCCCTCTTCCTCTTATTTGTTACTATCCTTTTCCTATTCCTCTTCTTCGTTCTCGCCTTACTTGCCCCGCGAACACTTCCCCGTCCTCCTCGGATTTGTTCGCGGAAACTCCTCTGGGGCGAGTTTCTGAAATATATAGCGAAGAGGTTTGGGGGGGTTCCTTGGGCGCCTCTGGCGACGTCCCTGGACCCTTTTGGCGGCTGGGGTTCCTCGAGCCACCATGCCGCGAACTGTGGTCTCGGGCCACGGTTTGCATACATCCGGAAGGCGTTCTGAGGCAATCTGCGGTCGTCGCAGGGCCCTCTGCGGGCAGTTTCTCCGCGTTTTTGGGCCGTCTTGGGGCTTTCTCGGTGTCAGGAAGTTGTTTTTCTTTGTCTTGGGGCGGTTTCCAGTGCCTCTCGGGCATGCTCAGACGCCCCCGGTGCCTCTCGGGCATGCTCGGACGCCCGGAAGACGGAATAACCGAATTGCCCAAAAACAATACAAAAGAAAACTAGAAAAAGACACTTGTACCCTACCTACAACCCTCGTCAAAATTAACCCAAAAATGTCTGACGTGGTTGAACTGCTTGTCGGAAGATCTGGGGCCGAGTATCGATGAGTGCGGGGTACTTGCATGCGCCGCCCCTCCAATGTCGGTCGACGTCAAACTTTCGAGTCAACTTCGGTCAGAGTATCTTTGCCCTCGCCCCGACATTGAAGGGGCGGCGTGTCGACATTGAGGGGCGCGCCAAAATCGAAATTTTGACGAGGGTCGTAGTCTCTGCCTAGAGGGGTTCTTACTCGCTTGGCTTAAAGGGGCCGGGCAGTGCAAACCGCCCCGGGCGGTTCCCCCAGTCCCCTGGGAGCCAAGCAAAAGCAACAGCAAAGGTAAAAGCAAACGCGCGGTCCCCCCAGTTGCGCTCCCTGGGTGCCAAGCCAAAGTTAAAGCAAAGGCCAAAGTGGAGGAAAAAACGAAGGCAAAGCAAAAGCAAAAGCATAGCATAGCATAGCATAGCACAGCGCAGCATAGCGCAGCATATTATAGCGCAGTATAGCATAGCGCAGCATAGCATTAGCATAGCATAGCCTAGCCAAGCATAGCATTGCGCAGCATAACATGGCATAGCATAGCATAGCATAGCATAGCATAGCATAGCATAGCATAGCGTGGCATAACATAGCAGAGCAGAGCATAGCATAGCATCCCTGACTGTTTCTGATGCTGCTTCACTTACGGCGTGGCGTCGGCAGTTCTGGCGCTACTACTACTACTACCACCACCACTACTACTACTACTACTACTACTACTACTACTACTGCTCCGTTGCATTTTTGGTTCAAGGCCACGCATGCCCAGCGGGTGCAAGTCACGTTGCGGCGCTGCGAGCACTCTGGGGGAGTGCTGGCGGAGCCAAAATCCTATTCAACGATTCAGTGCGATCAAGTCTGCTGCCCCAGCCCTCGCGCGCTATGGCCAGCCATGGGCGCGGCGGACCCGAGGGTGCAGGGGTTGTGCTCCGCGGGCCCAAGTCACCGCTGTGGCTGTGCTCCTGCGGCTGCGCTTCCAACTGGGCCAGCAGGCTCAGGCGAAGAGAGCGCGACAGGCGGTGCTCCACCAAGGTCGAGGACGCCGCCAGGAAGGCACACAAGGAGGCGTTCAAGGGAAGGCCCAAGCCGGGCAGCCACCCGCAGCCCCGTGGGGCCTGGGCGCGGCAGAAGCTGGCCCCGTGGGAGCACGACAAGATCCAGCGGCAGGACAGCGAGCTGGCCGCCCTTCGGCAGCAGGTCGAGGCGCTCAAGGCCGACAGCGCCAAGGCCAAGCTTGCAGCCCTCAGCGACCTCAAGGAGGAGCTACAGAAGCTGGGAGGAGGAGTGCAGGCCACGAGCTGCGACAAGGCCGTGGAGGCCAAGTACTCCGAGCCGCCCAAGCCCAAGAGCCTCCCAGCCTTGGAGGGGCAGCGCAGGAAGCTCGAGGCCCAGCACCAGAAGGCCCTCGCCAAGGTTGCAGAGCTCGAGGACCAGCGCGTCAAGCTCGACCAGCGGATCTGCGAGGCCAAGGACTCGGCCGCCGAGCTCAAGTGCATGCTGCAGGCGGCGGACGCCGAGATCGAGTCCCGCCATGCCGCTGGAGTCCTCGGCGATGGGCTCAGGGGCTTGGCCGAGGTCCTGGAACAGTTCAAGGCTACGGCTGTGGAGAACCAGGCAGTGCTGCAGGGCCTCATCCAGCTGCAGGACGTCGTCAAGAAGGAGCAGGAGACCCTGGATGCAGCAGACGATGCCGTTCCTGGCGATGGCGCTGGCGACGGCGCTGCTGACCCAGGCAGTGGGGATCCACACGAGGGTGTCCCTGGCAGTGCAGGGTCAGGAGGGGAGTCTGTCCCCGTCCCTGACGAGCTGGTCGACAGTCTCATGGAGGACGCCCCAGAAGGCGAGAGCTTCGAGCAGCGCCGCAAGCACATCAGCGACATCATCGGGGCCCAGCTCAAGCGGCCTCGGGTTTGATAGTATGTGGCTCTACTCTGTCAACGCGAACACCGAGAAGGGCTATCGGGACTTCCTTGACTGGCTGGACGGCCAGCACAGCCTCGCGGACGCTGGGCCGACGAGGCGGCCAGTCGCAGACATCACCTTCGTTCAGGAGACGCGGGTGCGTGAAGTTGGAAGAGAGGCAGTCCAGCGTTGGCATCGGACGCGCGGGTTCGACTTCGACCTCGCCGCAGGACTCAGCACGGGAGACGGGCCCCAGTCCGCCTCAGGTGGTGTAGGCATTGGTGCGCGGCAGCGGTTCGCGGCAGCCACGCTCGACACCAAGTTCAAGCAGCCCCACCGCGTGCTCCGACGGGTGGTCAACATTGGAGACGGGCTCGCCATCGATCTCATGTCAGTCTACCTCCGCGACGGGGAGGGCATGAGCGAGGCCAACGCGGACATCCTCTGGGAAGTCGCGTCGCAGCTCAGGGTGGCGGCGCGGCCGTGGATTCTGGCTGGCGACTTCAACATGGACCCCCTCCAGGTCGCGGCGCGGGCGGCGACGGCTGGAGGGCTCGTGCTACATACAGGGACGCCTACCTGCAGGGCGGGGGCGCTCAACGAGCTCGACTAGGCGGTCATCTCCGACGAGCTGCAGCAGTTCGTGTTCAGCCATGGGCACGTGGTCGAGGCCCCCATCGGGCCGCACAGCCCCGTTGTTGGAAGTACGAGGGCTGCATGCAGAAGCCACGGTGCAGCAGCTACACCGCACAGCGCGGCTGCCCTTCGATCGGGACATCGGCTGTCACCCCTGGGCCCCACTGCCCGCTTGGACTTGGGCGGAGGGCACGGTCCCCCCCCAGCCCGAGGGCTGCCATGCAGGAGCGGCTACGGCACGCCGAGGGCTACCTTCTCCCACTCTACGACCTGCACGGGGACGCGGCTCAGAAGTTCGCTGGCAGGGCCGACGGCGTGCGATTCGTCAACGTGCAGCTCGTCGACGCCAGCCGCCGCCGCTGGGCCCAGCTCCGCTCGCACGAGACCCACGCCTGGGGAGGGCTGGTCAGCCTGTTGCAGCGAGCTGACCTGCTGGTGGCGCGAGGGAAGGACTTACAGGGCCTGGCCAGCCTGCGCGCCCGCCTGGCAGCGCTGCGCCTGGCCGACTACGACGGCACCATGGCCCCTGTGCCCAGGGGAGAGCTGGGCGCTGCGGCTACCTGCAGCGACGCGGCATTGAGGAGGAGGCTCATCGAGCACGACAGGGCCCAGCAGCAGGCCAGCCAGCGCAGCGACGCAGCTGCCGCCAGGTGGCAGTGGCAGGCCTGGGCCAAAGGCTCGGCTACAGGCGGGGGGAAGCTCGCCCACCGCTTCTCAAAGCCTGAGCCGTTGGCCAAGGCGACCCTCGTCACGGCGGACGAGGACGAGGGCGACACGCTCCCAGTCAACGGCGACGAGGCGGTGCGGCATTGCCTCAAGGAGTGGCTTCCACTATGGCTGGACCCTCGGCGCCGAGGAGGCCTCGAGGAAGCGGCCAGCTGGGAGGCGCCTGAGCCGCTGCCGAGCCTCGAGGTGGACAGCCTCAGGTACCTGCTCAAGCGGCACGGGAGGCGGGCAGGCCTGGGATGGGACCAGCTCCACCCGAGGCAGCTGCTCCTCCTCGACGGTCATCTCAGGCACTGTACTCCCCACTCGGTCATCTCAGGCACTGTACTCTCTCAGACGCGGTTCTACAAGAGAGGCATGGCCTCCGAGTGGGAATGCCTCATGTGCAGGGGCGCTCCTGGCACGCTCTGGCACAGGCTGTACGGATGCGATGGTCACGCGGCCTTCCGCAAGGACGATGCCTCACCCGGGCTCCTTCGGCACGCAGAGGTGGCTCGGGCTGCACGAGGCAACTGCGGCGAGATGTTCGGCAGGTGCCTCTTCCCGTCGCTCGACCACGCGATCCTGAGGCGCGACCCAGATGGTGATCCAGTTCGCTGGTATCGGCGCCCAGCCTCGGGGTTCCTCACAGGCCTCATCTTCACGGATGGCAGCGCGGTCGGCACGCGGTGGCCAGAGCTGCAGCGCGCTGGCTGGTCGCTCGCGCAGTGCGACAGGCATGGGCGCCTGGTGGCAGCAGCATGGGGATGGGTGCCCCTCTCCATGGCGCCGCGGCAGGAGGCGAGGGATGGCGAGGACTACGCGTACCACATGGCGGCCTTCCTCTGCGAGGGCCACGTCGACTTCCAGACGGACTGCGCTGGGACGGTGGCTTGCGCCCAGAGGGGAGCTGCATGGGCATGCCGCCCAGGGTCACCGCGGGCCCACACGTGGAATGCGTTCTACGCCTCCTTCGACGGCTCACGCAGCTACACGGTCACCAAGGTGCTGGCCCACGCCACCGCCGCCGATGTGGAGGCGGACCGCACGACCTGGCGGCAGCGGGCAGGCAACAGGCTCGCCGACGATGCAGCGAAGGAGGGAGCGAAGTTGGCGCTGGCCGACGACCAGCTGGACTTAGCCTACGGCCTCGACCTCATTGCAAGACAGGCTATGCTCTTCACGGGCAAGCTCCACGCGCGCATGGCGGATCGAAAGCTGCTCGACCATGCCAGCGACGTCATCCTGGAGTTCACGGAGCCTGAGGCGGGCCACGAGGAGCAGGAGACCAGCGGGGGCCACGCTGCCGAGACCTCCTGGGGGGCTGCTGGCGCGGCGGCCGTGGCCCTGGCTGCGGCGCGGGCCTCGGCGGAGGGCGACGAGCCTCCTGCAGCTCGACGACCACGGCAGCCGTGGTCGATCGGTGGCCACTCCATCGTCGAGCGAGCCGTCACGGGGCCTGGCACGGACGGCACCACCATGGTCCACTGCGTGAAGTGCTACGCCTACGCCCACCAGCGCACGCAGGGCATCCTGGGGCCGCGCGGCACGGGGGCAGGACGTGAGCCGCAGATCGATAGGATTCGCAGAGGGTTTTTCCCTAACGTCAAGGGCGGCCGCGGGTCCTGGCGCCTCGGGGAGCAGTTTTTTCCCTCCGAGGCCTGGCGTACGAAATTCAGCCAAAGGCTTTCGCCCGCCGCCGCCCCCGAGGCCAGCAGGGCCACGGGCAGCGGGCAGCAGGGCCCTGCTCAGCGTCTGCCCCGCTCGCGAGCGCTGTTGCGCTTCGGAGTCGGGCCCGAGCAGGAGGCCGACCTCCTTTCCTGGTCGGCCAGGCAGCGAGCCGATCGTAGGTCCAAGGGAGACCCCGACGAGCTCGAAGGGGAGGCTTCCGACTAAGAGGGTTGGAGGCGCCTCTCTTTTCTCTTGCGGTGCAGAGGCTCGTACTGTGGAGTAGGCTTCTGCAGGCTCGGAGTGGCCCCAACTTAGAGGGTTGGGGGCTCCGGCAAGGCTTCGGGGCCCGCGAGGCTCTGCTCTAGTGTGCCCCTGGCGCCCTGAGCTGGAATGGACGGCCCTTCAGGTAGGGGGTTGGGTCGGCTCGGCCAACCCCCCACCTGCCGTGTAGCGAGGCGGTACTACTACTACTACTACTACTACTACTACTACTACTACTACTACTACTACTACTACTACTACTACTACTACTACTACTACTACTACTACTACTACTACTACTACTACTACTACTACTACTACTACTACTACTACTACTACTACTACTACTACTACTACTACTACTACTACTACTACTACTACTACTACTACTACTACTACTACTACTACTACTACTACTACTACTACTACTACTACTACTACTACTACTACTACTACTACTACTACTACTACTACTACTACTACTACTACTACTACTACTACTACTACTACTACTACTACTACTACTACTACTACTACTACTACTACTACTACTACTACTACTACTACTACTATAACTACTACTACTACTACACTACTACTACTACTACTACTACTACTACTACTACTAACTACTACTACTACTACCACTACCACTACTACTACCACTACCACTAACTACCACTACACTACACTACTACTACTACACTACTACTACTACTACTACTACTACTACTACGACTACTACTACTACTACTACTACTAACTACTACTACTACTACTACTACTACTACTACTACTACTACTACTACTACTACTACTACTACTACTACTACTACTACTACTACTACTACTACTACTACTACTACTACTACTACTACTACTACTACTACTACTACTACTACTACTACTACTACTACTACTACTACTACTACTACTACTACTACTACTACTACTACTACTACTACTACTACTACTACTACTACTACTACTACTACTACTACTACTACTACTACTACTACTACTACTACTACTACTACCGCTACTGCTACAACTACGACGATGAGGAGAAGGAGGAGGACGGCGTTTACCGCTCCTACTAATGTTGCTTTCCAACTCCTAGGTAGGGTCGCACTGGGATAATTCTTGAAATTCGACTACCTTTCGGGGGGGATATGTGGGCCGTTGTCGAGCGTCTGCAAGACCGGGGCCGCCGGGGGCCATGTTGGAAACTCTCGGGGGTCTCTTGGGGCCGCCGCTGACCCGCTTGCACGGCATAGCAGAGACTTGCTCATGCCCGGACATCTCGCGGGCACCTCTGAGGGGTCGCCCAGTATCCCCTGACGCCAGGGATCCAGTGTCGGGGGGAGTGAACTTTTGAACGGGTATCTCCAAGACATGATTGTCAATAACCAATATATCCGAGTAAAGTGTACCAGGATGTCGAATAGCCAAATTGCGATGGAGGAGAAAGGGCTCTTTTCCCCTGCGCATTTCAAGATCATTGATGAATCTTGGGCTGACATTGGTTCTCCTCCTCCTCCTCCTCCTCCTCCTCCTCCTCCCCCTGGAGCCGCTTGCTCCTCGGGACAGAGGGTCTGCCAGGGGTAATCATCTCTGCCATTCCTCCTCGTCCCTCCCCCCGCCCCTCCCCGATCCCCCCTGTCTTCCTCCCTCTGCCCCCCCCCCATCATCCTGGCTTTCCTCCTCCGATCGCGCATAAAACGAAGCGGTCTCTCTGTGTCTATCGCAGGTCGGCTGTGGCACGAGTGAACGGATAGAGAAAAATCAGCGCCACGGGAAGGGATGGGAATGAGGGATAGAATGTCAGATGAGGCGCGAGCGCACCTAGCTTGCCTCCTCCCCTTCTCTGCTTTCCACTTTCCACGTCCATGAAGGCGGCCCCAAGAGGGAACAGCCACCTACGTCCGAGTGATGGCGCCATCCGCGGGTGGCGCCTCGTACCACTTCCGCCACCGCGGGAAGCCACCGGGTCCGCTCCCAACCGCGGGTGGCGCACACTACCACCTACGCCACCGCGGGGAACTCCTCATCCCTCTCCCCCTTCCCCGCCTCCTCCTACTTGCTGGCCAGGCTCGCGCCTCGGTCCGCTGGGTTCCGGCCGCCGACGCCCGCCAATCGCCTCGCCGCGGGCCGTGGCACTGCCGCGCCCGCACAACGGCGGGCGCCGCTGGCCTCGCCGACCCGCGGGGCGCGCCCGCCCGGGGGACGCACCGAGCCAGGTCAGCACAAACCAGGTTCAGCCAGGGCCCCGTCGCGAAGCCCAGTCGGCCGCACCGCGGCTCCCACACCCGGGCCTGCGGACTGCGGCAGGGGGGAATCGGTGCTCCGTGGCCCCCAAAACCCGGAGCAGGCAAAGACTGGCGGACCACCGTTGGCGCTTCACCAAGTCACGTGGGCCGCGGCCGCGCCTCGCCGTGGTGGTCTTGGCGTTGGCGGGAGAAAGAGGGCCGGCGCTCGCCGCCGCGCGCGGGCCGCAGAGCGTCGAAGCGGAGGCCTGTGTGCCTGGTGCCTGTGGCGGTCCGCGCTGCGCGCCGCTGGGCGCTGGCCGCGGCCCCGCATGCTGCACCTTAGCGGAAGGCGGTGGCGCAGCTCGTGTCCGTTCGAGGACTTCGGCGTGGCGGGCTGCGAGCTGGGACCTCCGCGGTGCGGTTGCTGCGGAGCCGTGCGGAGGGGGATGCTGATCACCAAGGCGCACGCCCGAGCTGCGCTCCGGCGCAGGCTGGTCGACATCTCGCCGCCTGCCGCCAGGCGCCGGGATCGCCATCTCGTCGGCAGAGGAATAGCCGGACCATGAGCCGAGATCGGGGCGAGGTGTTCGAAGTCTACGTGGTTCGTCGACGTCTTCCTCGCGGCCGAGCGGGGTGGCACCGCGCGCGGTCGGGGGAGCGAACCCTCGCCGTTGGCCTCGTGCTCTCTCCCCCCTCCTCCTCGCCCTGCTCTACCTTCCCCCCGATTCATCCGCAAGTCACCATCCTCCTTTCTTGTTATTAATCGTAGTAGCTCTGTGAATATCATTATTATAATTCGTAGTAGCACCATCATTCTTGCATTATCATACTATTCTGCGTAATCATACCTATTAGTATCACAATAATATTATCTGAAAATAATAACGATAATGACAGTGGTAATAATGAGAAGAAGAATAAGAATAAGAAACATACTACTAATACGAATACTAACAATAATAATAACAATAATGCGAATAACAGTAATAATACGAATATGATCATTTACAGTATTCATATTGTTATTCTTAGTGTGAATACAACTCAAACTGTTTGTCACGTTTTTCTTCTCACACGTCTCCTTAGTAGTACGAGTTTCACGGCTGTTGAGACTGACATGATTCATATTCTCATGTGCATTATGATTTGCATTGTGAAGTTTTTTTCTCAGTTTCGCATGGTGTCCGATTATTCGTATTGTGTTCATGTCCGACTGTATTAAATGTTATGCGGGATACTACTCGGATGAATAGTCCTGTTATCCGTATTCATAGTAGTAGTGACATGATTGTGTACAGTTTCGTGCCAGTATTCATATCATAGTGCTTTAAAAACTTGTACATACATAGTGATGGCATGCGTCGCGTTATCACTTGTCGCAGGATGATTATCCATATAATACATGGTGGTAATATTGTGGTTGCTTTATTATCATTGGTTTGGCTGTCCAAATTATTATGAGGCGCTATCTTGATCGCATGAATATTACGATCGGTCTGCTTAGTCGAATTCTTCGTTGTAGTATGGAATGTTATGTTCGTGCGTTTGTTCTGGTGTTCTTATCGCAATAGTGTTCTTAATCGCCTCTTTCTGCTTCCTCTTGTGGATATTGTCCATACGGCTCCTGATACCCATATTATTTGTGAAATGCCCATCATTGGTAGTATGCGTCTTCGTAGTAATCGTACTAGTACGATTATGACGACGATAATCATTATATTCCTATGTGTCCTCCGCCCCCTCCTCCTCCGCCCCCTCCTCCTCCACACCCTCCTCCTCCATATCCTTCTCTTCCCCACCATCCTCCTCCTCCTCCTCCTCTGCCTCCTCCTCCTCCTCCTCCTCCTCCTCCTCCTCCTCCTCCCCCTCCTCCTCCTCCTCCTCTTCCTCCTCCTCCTCCTCCTCCTCCTCCTCCTCTTCCTCCTCTTCCTCCTTCCTCCTCCTCCTCCTCCTCCTCCTCCCTCCTCCTCCTCCTCCTCCTCTCCTCCTCCTCCTCCTCCTCCTCCTCCTCCTCCTCCTCCTCCTCCTCCTCCTCCTCCTCCTCCTCCTCCTCCCTCCTCCTCATCCTCCTCCTCCTCCTCCTCCTCCTCCTCCTCCTCCTCCTCCTCCTCCTCCTCCTCCTCCCCCCATCCATATCCATATCTTCCTCCTCATCATCATCCTCCTCTTGTTCCTCCTCCTCCTTCAGCTCGAAACGCCACACGACGATCTAAGCCGCGTTCTCGCGCCCGCGGCCGCCCGACGGCGGCCAGCCCAACGCGATCGCGGGAGCCCCCTGGACGCCACCGGGGGGCCCTTCCAGAGGTGGGGAAGGAGGGATGATGACAACGACAAGAGGGGGCGGGCAACTGGGCATGGATGAGCGGTGGGACCGCGTGAAAAAATGCTGATGTCTACGATGACGTCGTACCTTGCCAGTAGCGGTGCGCACGGCGTACCTTGTCCGTGTAGACGTAGTATGGTAGTATGCGAGGTTCTCTACATACCCGCCGGCGCTGTAAGCGCCATGGCATACTAAGCTGGTCCTTTTGTCTAGTGGCTTTAGGCAAACCAGTCGCGCCCATTGCGATGGCCGGCCGCGCCATCATCGATGGGTGGCGCACGAAGAGCATGTGGTAGTTCCAGTAACGCCGTACGCAAACCTTTTCATACGGCGGTGCGCAATAACGATGCGCTTTTAATACTCGTCGTAGGAAGTGCGGCCATTTCGTAGAC